AAGAATTATACAATTAATAAAGTGTAAACTATGTTATAAAGTTAGATATATGTAATTTACTTCAAGAGTAGGAAAATAACTTTGATTACAAAGACATAGAGAACTTCTAACAGAGAGGTTCATGTTTGAATTCAAGCATGAGCAGAACTGAGATGAAAGTTTAAGTTATTTTGCTGAAGCAAACATTACCAATTTTACTGAATTAAATTGACAAGAATCATTGAAGTGTGGTACATGTCTCCAAGCATATGCAAAACTTGAGAGAATAAGAGGCAGACAAACTATCAAGTATCTGGAATTGCAAAATAGGGAAAATGGGTCTGATCTGAAACATAATGAGGGTCTGTTCTGACTTTTTGAACAGAAAAGAAACATGTTTTTAAATTCATTCAACAAATACTGAGCAAAATGAAATGCCAAACATTCATAGTGTTAGAAATATAAGATTCAACATATGAAAGAAATCACTGCAAAAATGTCAGGTATGTAGAAATGTCAGATGTGTAGACAATCACCAGACTCTGGCCAAGGCCATTTGCTTTAACCTCATTATCTCACAGGACATTGTTAATTACTTTGAAGTGGTTAAATGTTATTAGAACTTAGTATTGCTGCAAAACTACACTGATGTCATTGTGAGAAAATTCCTTTAGGATTTGATGGAAAACTTTAACTTTGAAATATAAGGGACATAATTATTAACAGAGACATGCAGATAGACTCCAAAACTCCCATTCCTTTACCTGCAAATGTTTTAGAAGGCAAAACACACACACGTGCTCAGACACACTCAAACATTGATAGTTTTCTGTAAAGCAAACAATCCATATTTTAAAAACTTTTCTCAATAAAATCTAATATTGCAATGTCATTTTTATTTGCAATTTTAACAAACATCATTTGTTTAGTTCCTTGAATTACTTGTAAGTTTTCATTTTTCCTAGATTTTAACTTCATTCTTGTTTTCTAGCTATTCTCAAAATTGAATGACATGGGGAACTAGAATAATGAGCAATACTAAAATTCATCTCACTGTCTGATTACAAGATACAATTTCAAAATATACAGGTAAGACCACAATATATTGTTTTAATTAAGTCAGGTATTTACATTAACAGTGAATGGCCCTTTGACTAACTACACGTATTGTATTTAATCTTTGTATCAAAAAATCCTTCCATATTTCTTTTGATGTTTTGTTTATAGAAATACAAACTTATTTTGACCACAGAATTTCTAAGGTTAGATGTGTCAGTCGCTATGTGTCCATGGATCACTAAGTAATACGTGGAGGTAATCTTTTAAAACAAAACCTGATTTCAAAATTCTTTTAGAACTTATGTTATCTTCTTCTTTTTAAACATTAAAACTGAGACATATTACTGACCTTACTTTTACTAGCTTTTCATCTGCTATGGCATACTTTTGAGAAACTTTTATATTTTTTAATGAATTAAGTAGTCTATTTAGATGAAGGAACAATACATATTCTTTATTATTTTGAACATTTTTTTCTGTAGTTTATTCTTCAAAGTTAACAGTCTAAATAGATAAAGGCAAAGAATGCTAATAAAGATCATTATTATGGTGTGGAGTTAGGGTTAAAATTAATTCTGCTCTTTCTGCTTAGCATTTTAAAAATGCTTTCATACAGGTATGTAACAACTAATCTCAAAATTCATTGTAAAGAAATGTTTGGATAAATGTGAAAAAATAAAGCAATGTAATTTATATGCAAGAAAGTATAGATTGTGTTGGGTAAGAAGATATACCCAGATTCAGAAAATTAAATCATTGTGGTCTAGAATACTCAATTAAAACTTTTTGAAGAAGCACTCTATATAAATTATGACAGAAAATAAGAGGAATGAATTATTTATGTAGAAAAAAATCAGTGTACACATATTGAAATGGTCACAGTCAGTGTTTGTGAAAATATGTGTGACACTGAGGAAAGGGAGGAGTCAGAAAATAACTATGACCATATTTTTTAGCTCTCATAGGTAATTTTCTAAAATGATGAGTGGATCCCATTATCTTTAATCCTTAGTCATTTTTGTAGAGTCTCAGAGACATGAAGATAACAAATCTGCAATTTGATTTTAGGGAATATTCAATCCTAGAGAAGAATGTATAGAGCCTCTTTTCAGTAGTAAAAACACAAATAATAAAATAACTCATTTAAAATTTACTATAGGGGTCAGAATAAAAGTAACACCAAAATTATTCAGGAAAAGTAAAACAAATATGGTGTTTTTATGCCTTTCAAGGAAGAAAAGGAAAAAGAAAAAATACATACACATATATTTGTACAGAAGATTAGTTACATAACTAGTTTCTCTTAGTTCATTGAAAAGAATGGGGTTTTTTGTTTTGCTTTGTTTTTTGAAGGAACCAGGGATTGAACTGAGGCCCTTGCACTTGGCAGGCAAGCAATTATTCTACTGAGCCATTTCCCCAGCCCAAGAATGGTTTTATATTATTCCTAACATTGTTTCAACAAGATTTCATGCATATATCTAGAACTATGTATAACTAGCATGAAGACAACAATATGTGTTGTATTAATTATTGTGACTCTCCTGCGAAGCTGTTTTGAAACTGTTTTATTATTTTTTCTTTAAAGTAAAAAAGTGTCTTATATTTTTATGCTATTCTCGAATGAATTGAAAAGATAACTTTTATCCACTCCCAGGCTTTTCCTGGAACTTATCAAATATTACATTGAATTTTGAGAGTCATAGCTTGAGGTCATAGTTGCTGACACTTTAAGTAAATAAATGCCCTTATCTATATACAGCTATGTATTAAAGAACATATTGGATGCTTTATTGAGGGAGAAATTTTTCCATGTGAGTAAAAAATAATTGACAAAGCTATTCATTATATTATCTCAATTAGAATCTTATGACTTTATAGTTTCTAACTCAAACTGCAAGGTAGAGATGACTGAAGACAACCACTCCTCAATCACAGAATTCATCATCATAGGATTCACAGATCACCAAGACCAGAAGATACTTCTGTTTAGTGTGTTCTCTGCCATCTACCTCATCACCATGGTGGGCAACCTAGGTTTAGTGGCCTTGATTTACATTGAGCGTCGGCTTCACACACCAATGTACATCTTTCTGGGAAACCTGGCTCTGATGGATGCCTGCTGTTCCTGTTCCATCACTCCTAAGATGTTACAGAACTTCCTTTCTCATGACAGAACGATTTCCCTCTATGACTGCATGGCACAGTTTTATTTTCTCTGTCTTGCTGAAACTGCAGACTGCTTTCTTCTGGCAGCAATGGCCTATGACCGCTATGTGGCCATATGTAGCCCTCTGCAGTATCACACCATGATGTCAAAGAAACTCTGCATTCAGATGATTACAGGAGCCTACGTAGCAGGAAACGTGCATCCCATGATTGAAGTAGGACTTTTGTTTAGGTTAACTTTCTGTGGGTCTCATGAAATCAACCACTTTTTCTGTGATGTCCTTCCATTATATAGACTCTCTTGTGTTGACCCTTATATCAATGAAATGATATTATTTATCTTGGCAGGCTCCATTCAAATATTTACTATTACCATAGTCTTAATTTCTTACTTCTATATAATTTTCACGATATTCAGAATGAAATCAAAAGAAGGAAGAAGAAAAGGTTTATCTACTTGTGCTTCTCATTTTCTATCTGTGTCCATTTTCTATGGTTCTCTTCTCTTCATGTATGCTAGACCAAGTTCTGTTGATGAAGGAGATAAAGCTATACCTGTTGCTATTTTCTACACTCTAGTAGTTCCTTTATTGAACCCTTTTATTTATAGTCTAAGAAATAAGGAAGTAATTAATGTCATGAAAGGTATTATGGGGAAGAGATTATTTTAACATCCTGAAAAAAGTATCATCTTTAGAAAAGTAATAGGATAATGCTTTCTTTAAGACATTCCCATAAAGAGAAAAGGATAAAAAACAATCTTATAAAAAGTTTAAATTACTGACACATCATGATTTTTGAGTCAAATCAGTTTGGAAAGGGAGAATTCTGGTAATTTTTTTTCAAAATCTAGTGTAATACGTCCCATCAGGAATGAAATGAGTACTTACTCATGTGATACAAACAAAGTTAGTATTCTTCAAAGGTATCTACCAATTCTAATTTTCAAAAAATTCTAAACTTCCAGGTCTGCATATTTCAATCTCAAATACATTCCAAGTTCTGAAATATTATTTTTCTCTAAAGCAACATCATCCATGCTATGTTTTGAATTTGATTTTTAAGTTGTAAAGTTCTTTCAATACAACATTGATTGTGTTTTTGTATGTATTAATTCTACTTGTTTATTCTTTAGTTGGGAATGTTTTTATATTTGGTATTAATCATTTTACTCTCATATTTGAAATAAAATATCTATATATTGAGAATTTATAAATTTGCAGTGAAATCAAGTAACTTATACTAAAATCTCTATGGTTCTAGTGTTTCATGTAATTTGTTTATGTATTCAACAAGTATGGTAACATAATTACTGAGTACATGAATGAAAGCAATATTTATCTTTCTTGCATTGTTTACTTTGTTGGTCATCAGGAATATTACATAGCTACACTGACTCCAGTAAAAATGCTTACACATTCATAGCATTAACAGAAGATGGAGATATTCATGATTAAAAGAAAGATAAAAGCAGTAAAATTCTTAACTATCTATACAAAATACTTTTTCTATTATTTAAATATAATAATAAATAGAAAGATAATTTACTGAAATTATCTGTTATTTACTTCATTAAACTTTTCATGTTTATTGTCTACCAACTAAGTTGGCATTGTAAAATTTTTTGTGATTGAAATTCTGAGGAGTTTTCTTTCTTTTTTTTTTTTTTTTTCTACTTTAGGCTACTTTAAGGGCAGATCTGGTTGTGATTGAAATTCTGAATCACTGACATAATGCCAAACTGCCCTTCTTATTAGGTAATTTAGATGGACCTTGAGTTTAAGTCAACATTGCCTTTTTTTCCCCACATCCATTTTTATAATAAATGTAATGATTTTATACATTCCTGAGATCACTAAATGCTGTCCTAAGGTCTATGAATTTATTTAGAGTAATCAGACACTGGAGTCACCGGAGTCCTCCTGGCTGTGGAATAATATGATTGTATGTTTCAGAAAACTTATTTAATAATTGATTATCAGGAAAATATAGACTAAGAATTATTTCACACACTAGATGGTGTGAGTGAAATTTGAGAACAATCTAAGAGAGGAGAGGAGTATATACATCTACACAACTGTTTAAAGATAAATGAATAACAAAACTTTTATTGTGAAATAAACCATGTCAGGCCAGGCAGATAGCTCGGTTGTCTAAGTGCTGCCTGAAAATCGCAAGAATACTTGTTCAATCTCTGATACTGCATGCAGTACCGGCGCCATGCTGAGCTGGCCACCATAACGGGGGTGGTGGCACATGCCTATAATCTCAAAGCTGGGGAGGCTGAGAAAGAAGCATCACTACAAGTCTGAGCTGTGTAACGAGACCCTGTACCAAATAACTAAATAATTATTTTTGAGAAAGAAATATGTCATATATTATACAAAAGAACACAATAAAAGAATATTGTTGGGGCCGGGGAGTTAGCTCTGTAGAATAAGCGCTTGCCTGGAAAGCACAAGGGCCTGAGTTCAATCCCTGGTTCTGCTAAAAAAAAAAAAATATTGTTATTTATTTTAACCCCCAAAATAAGTTTCCACCAGACTTTTCCGAAGGTTTTGCCATTTTCTCAAACAGTCATGGACACTTTATTAAAGATATTCACAAAAAGGACTTCTAGAATGATTTCAGGATCAGATATGTTTGTTGAAATTGAAGCATGCTTTGGAGGAGATAAGGGAAATATGTATTTACTGTAAAAATTTTAAGCATAAATCATATTTTTCTTGTAAATTACAGGTATTCAAACAAGGGTGATACATTTGTGCCTGCAATAAATATTTTCTTCAAAATGTATTTGGTATAATTATGAGGACCCATAAAATATGTTTATCGATTGTATTTTAGAACAATTAATGTTTTATTTTTTGGTTTTTGTTTCAAATAGAATGAGTGGCAGTAGGTACAGTTTAGATAAACAAAAGCTACTTAGGCTTCATAACAAAGTTTAGATTGTATAAACAATAAAGAGTACAACAAAGTCTGAAGCAGAATGGACAGTATTGCAACATCCATTATTTTACTAGACATTTTTATTCTCAGAGTTATATTGTTTTGGATCAAAATTCCAGTACAGTGGAAGTTTCTGGGAAGTCAGTCACATTTATTATAAAAGAGATACACCAAAATGTAGTCTTGTGCTCCTTAAACTTTCTGCTGTAAGAATGTGAAACCTGAATCAGCCAACTTTTATTTTTCCATCAAAAAGAAAATCATCCTAGTGCTCTAGAGATATAGCCAACACTCAGCTGCAGAATCATGGAAAGAAAGACGCAGCATACCTGGCATAAAAGACTTCCCTTAATTATACAATCCAACAGATCTTTCTATTATTTAATTTTTTTTGAAAACTTTTGTTTGGAACTGATTAAAAAATAATAGTGACATCCAGGTTTCATGCCTATTGTATTTGCACCTTTATACTCTAAATTAACCCTCACCTTAATCCTTTGTATACAAATAACTTTCCATGTATTTGTACAATGATAAAGTGGTGTCCCTTTCACCATTCACTTTTATGAGATCGTACACTGCCATCATTACATTTTAAGTTTTAATAATCGTAAAAAAACAGATAGCTATCGCAATCTTGCTACAAAGATGCATCTATGGACTTCAGAAATCAAATCAAGGCTCTTATCAACTCAAATGATAAATGGTAAAAAATGGAAGTTGTATGAAAATGACAACACATGGGTTATTGAGCAGAGATTCAAAAGAGAGATTAGTATCTATCAAGTTGATTGTTGTAAGATTTCCATGTACAATTCTAGAGAACTAATTATTGATAACCTATCAAGTATAAATTAATTAATTTTAATTTAATGATACAAATAATTTTTGATTATCATAATAAAATTTAACTGGCATCAATAGTATTTTTCCCATAATTTTATTGAGAAACAAATACCAATGAGATGGTTTCAAAGCAAATTGGTAGGGCAGTTTCAATAATTAACACATTGCATACATTCTTCTTAGTGGTCAATTGCTGTACAAGATGCAGACATGATATCCTATTTACAAACACCATTAGAATAAATCCATCTATTCATTAAGAGAATGTAACTATATATCTATCCTAACCATTCTGAATACACAGATACAAAATGGACATTCATCTGTATCCCCTTTTTTGTTTAGTTCCGTTATTTGAATATTGAAATTATATGTCTCAAAATGTTAAGAAATTAGTAGAATATATCTCACAGTGAAATGTTGTCAGCGGTATACATATATATTTAAATGAATGCCATTTTATTGTTTCTTTCTATTTTATTTTAAATTTCTATGTTCTTAATCTTCACTAGATTTCCAAGATGGACATTTCAGAAGAATTGCTGTTGATGGCTTATTGGGAAGGCAGTCTTGATATGTTTTCTTTCTATTGTTCTACTTAGGAAAAGATCTTTAGTTTATTTTTATTTTTATTTTTTTTTGTGATTTTTTTCCCATAATTTTATTGAGAAACATATAGTAATGAGACAGTTTCAAACCAAATTGGTAGGACAGTTTCAATAATTAACACATTGCATACATTCTTCTGAGTGGTTAATTGCTGCACAAGATGTGGACTTGACATTCTATTTACAAACACCATTAGAACAAATCTCTCTATTCATTATGAGAATGTAACTATATATCTATCCTAACCACTTTGAATACACAGATACAAAATGGACTTTCATCTGTATCCGCTTCTTTGTTAAGTTCCATCATTTAAATATTATAGGTGTGTAAACTCAGCAAAATATTCTAAAAGAGTTCAGTAGTCCATAATAGTATTGGGTCTTCTGCACTGGCAATGTCAGAAATTGTTGACCTGAGTCCCCTACAGCTCATTATAACACCATGGCTTTACTTCTTATACTTCGTTTTTATACTTTTCTACTGGATGGTTAAGACCAAGTTAAAGCAGGATCTATGCAACAAGAGTTGTAGCTGTTGATACTAATAAGATCAGTGAAATCCCCTCAGGATCTATACTGAGATCCTGTACCTCAGATTGTAGAACCTTTGTCAGTGTCAGTAATGTGCATGAGTCATGGTCATTGCTTGGCCAATATGCCCTCTGTGAAAGATTGAGAGAATTATTTCTCTCAATGTGACTCTCCTTAGGCACATGCTACATAATCGATCACTTTCCTCTTTGGTCCCATAATCTCCTTGATCAGAAAATTTGGGACACTACCGAGTTACATGATGTAACAGTACAAGTTCTCATGTGTTCTGAGTCTTAATTGACCTTCAAAGACTAGGGCCAAAAAGTTGGCTTTCTTAGCAGCCCTCCTTTTTCTCTAATTTTGTCTGCAAACTTAGGTTGTTAAACATACAGAAGAAAAGCTTATTGTTATTACCATACAACTTAGGCTGTTAAGCTTAACCTATCTGTCTGAATATCAAACATCTTAGGCATAACATGGAACAGGTATTTTTCATCAAGTATTGGGTCTTCTGCACTGGCAATATGTTGAACTTTAATTCCCTATAGAATATGATAAAAATCATTTAAAAATTAGAATACATTTTAAAAATAGGCATAAAGAATGATATACTTCTTATGATTACACATAAGTACAAAAATCTAACCATATACAAACTTGAAGCAGGACAGTCCTACTATATTGTTTTTCCTATCTCTTGTCTTCATTCACCACCCCCTTCTTTTGCA